ATGTACTTTTACTAAAATAGTATACAGTTATTTAACAATTTAAAAGGGGAGACCAACTGTTATTAAAAAGGGTAAATTAAAGTTCCCACATAAGACGTGTATAATAGGTAAAAATCACCCATTGTTTTGACTACGTAAGTTCCAATACGAAAAAAACTTATTATTTTATCAATAGATATGTAAATTATTACATGAATAAAAATAATAACTATACGTCTACACAAATGTCCTTTCCACAGTTCCACTGTAATACTGTATTTAGACATGTGACCTACAACTTTAATAGTTTAATGTTTATTTAATATTATTGTATTTTTATGTATCCTGTAAGAAGCAAAACATTGATTTAAATTAAATTAAAAGTATTTATGAAATTATGAACTGTATAGAGTTGCATAAAATGGTATTATCACAATAATTTAAGATAGCATTCATATATTTCCAATTATTTCGAAAATTTGATATTAGCAATACATGAAAATTCAAAATATAATCATTTTTATTAAATTCGTAATTTTTATCCATATTAGTTCTTCACCCATTGAATCCACAATACTATAAACTTTTACTTATTCTATAATCATAAGTTGAGAACTTTTACATATTTATATTGTATCTTTGTTCATATGGAAACTTGCATAATATTATAAATAATAATATAAAAAACAAATTGTATGTAACAATTCATCTGTTATTATGATTCGTGTGAGAACTTACAAACCCTATTAAAACATTTCCATTGACCATTAATAAATATTATTTCAGTATTATCCATCTACTTGGTACTTGCATAAACATAATATAGGTATTACAGTTCAAATTATAATTAAATTCCTAAAAGGTTTTTTTTCGCAAAGCAAACTTTCTCTTTTGTCTATAATAGGTATGTGTACATAATAAATGTGATTATAAAAAAATAATCATTAAATTCATGACAACAAAGTTTTCGAATCGTATTATAATTACCTAATGTGACACTCCTCACCAGTCACCAATAATTTATATTTTATATTATAGTACCTATTGGCTATTAGTTATTACATATTCCAAAGACCAAAGGTAATTAACTAAATAAAAAATTTAATTTTTTTCTTAACTTACCTACTAAGTTAATTTAAGTTTTAATTAGACACTAGATAAATAGTTACAGTATTAACTGTAATAATACTTAACTTTAAATTGAAATACATGTTTATATAAAATCATTTAAACAAAAATGTTCTTGTTTTTAATAATTGTAAGTATTGACACGATTATATAATTGCCACCTAAGACTATTTAGTTGGTACGAAGTAAGAAGGAATATAGAATTTTAAGATGAAGATAAAAGATTTGAGGTACAATTTTAACAGGCTGATTAATCCAACATTTCCAATTATTTGAAAGTTATAAATTAAAAACTAACTTATTTTTAATTGAATCGTTGATATATTCCTCAATAATATCATTAAACTAGTTTAGTTAAATTAATTATTAGTTAATTATTAACTTGACGTTCCTAACTTAAACATGACTATAATTAAAAAACAAAGTAGGTATTAACCTGAACTCCATTTGATTATTTTCATTAACTAGAACACGTTCTCCGTATTTTCAATGAATGTGTAGAACTTACATATATTTTTCAATTATTTACTGATATCGTTTCTGATAAGTTATTTCGGTGACCAATAATTATTTATCTGTAAACTTTGATTATAAATAAGTTATAACAATAATTTAATCTAATAATAGGAAAATTATTTTTAAATCGTATTTGTTAGTTAATATTCATTTTCAATGAATTGTAATTGATTAATAATAAGAATAAAACGTAAGTATACCGCTTTGAAAATTTAATTTTAATGTTTATTTTATCAAAACACAGAATAAAATAAATGTTATTAATGTTATTATTGTATAATATTAGTGTGCTAGGTACCTACCAAAAACAATCACATTTTCTATAACAGACAGAATATTTCAAGTCAAAATAAACACGGAATCATATCTACAACAAAAAATCAAATCTGGAGTCTCACAAAGATCAGTCTTAGCCAGGGACGTAGCCAGGATTTTGTTTCGGAGGGGGTCAAGTAAAAATAATAATCAGTAGGTTTAAAAATTCTTATTATTGAAGTAAAAATCAAATTATTGTAGCATCAAAATTCAAAAGTAATAATTATTGTTAGTAAATAATAATAAATAAATGTTGGTACAAATTATATCAATAATAATTTTCTTTTGGTTTTGTAATTATATCTAACTTGTCTTTTGATGAAACTTATATTTCCCAGTGAACGGATAAATGAGTCAGCCTGTTAAACGGTAAAATTAAAATAAAAAATATATAAATATATATATGTTCATATTTATATATTTAATTTATATTAATTTTTTTTTTTTACCAGTATATCAATAAAAGATAAAATTTAGTATCTAGTTATTTGATAAAAGACAATCATGATTATTATATTTACAAATTTATCTTATATTAGGTAGGTAGGTATTAATATTGTGTAAATTCTTATCTACGTAGACAAGCAGTTATTATGTGGTTTGGTTTGTATGAGAGTAATTTTTTCTATATGTAAAACGTAAAACTGTAAAAGTATAAAAAAAAATATTATCGATGATATTTCGAGGGGAGGGGCGGTCCGGACCACATGGGCCCCTTCACTGGCTACGTCACTGGTCTTAGCCCTTAGGCCAACCCTCTTCAATATAATATAATTGCTACAATATCCCAAAAATGCCCAACATACATCTGTTAATATTTGCGGATGATATGGTAATCCTTACTGTTACTCAATAAAGCTTCATATTTATCATTTGAAAAACTTTAATCCTCATTGAATAAAATCACATCTGTTAAAAAAAAATGAATGTTGAACTTTAATTCAATCAAAAGAGCCATAATATTCACATTAAAAAGATACAACGATCCTAGGAACATTTGCATCCGTAATAACCAAATGCTTTTTCAAATAAATCAATTCTTTTAGGAGAATCACATACAAAATAGGAAATTTCATTCATAGTTGAGAATAATTATTTTAAATATAGTGCAAAATTTAATTGATAATATACACGGTGCCTGAAAATTACTTTGGTATTAAATGAATAATATTTTACATATTTACATATTATAACAATTATTGAACAAGGAATACTAAGTATAAAACGCAGATAAGATTATAGTATCAACATTTTCGTAATAATAGGTCTGAAAGCAATTAGAACAACGATTTAGTCATAATTATCTCATATTATTATAACTACAAACATAATATAACTGTCTAAAGGTGTCCCGGACCCCTTGGACCTGCTTTCCTATTCCCAATGTTACTATTAATTTACCACTGAGACACTAATTTTAATAAACAACTAAACAATACGAATAAAAGTAGTATAAAGATAGAATAGCCAAAAATGACAAAACACATACAAAATTAACAAATTTTTAATAGATTATACATGTATATTAATTGTGTGTAAAATTAAAATAATATCTAAAATGCAATAATGTGCAGTAAAAGTAAAATAGAAAAATAAAGTTAATAATTAATTAAATAATGTTTTCCTTACTTTTACCATGTCGCCAGTAAAGTTTATTCGGTCATAAAACTTTGTACTGTTCCCAAAGCGTATCTTATAAGCAACGTTCACTGTTAAGTGTTATGCAACGGTTTGGGTAAAAATAAATTGAATATTGCAATTATCACCATCATATTTCGTTTTTAATAATTTGTAGTTGAGTTGAAATATAACACACCCATACAGTGATCTAGTTTTTGACGAACGGTTTTCAAGCCCTACTAAACATTTATCAACATAGGTTGTAGAACTGCATAGTGACTTTATAGGTTTTTACTACGATCACATCGCTCACAGTGATTTAACTTCGAATTTAGGCGCCAATAATTGATAACAAAAAAAAAAATTTTGTAAGAATCGTGAGGTTGGTATACGTTTAATGAGATAATGTCTTACCAATGATAACCTCAAAATACGGTTAGCACCAGCAGTCTGTGTTGTTTATTTTTCTTCGCTCTGAATACGACACTTCGACGTAAGTCTACTTTTCCCGTAGGTCAATCCTGTAAAATGTAAGTATATTTGTGAAATTTTAATCCAAATTTATCAACTCGATCCTCTAATGTATCATTTGTAAGATTTCATTATGAATCGTACGTTGTGTTTCTTTTTAGTCAAAATGATATATTATTAAATTTATAAACGTTTTTCGTTTATTGAGATCAGTTAAAATCTGTACATATCGAGATTGATTTTTATCTAATTATTTTAGATTAACCATGTCGATCAAGCCTAAGTATCGTCCACAAATCATCAAAAAACGTACAAAGAAGTTTATCAGACATCAGAGTGATCGTTATGACAAACTCAAGGTAAGTCTTATTTGATCAAATACTAAATCTTGAATAATATCATTTTTCTTCAATTGTTTTTCTTTTGTAGCCCAACTGGCGTAAACCTAAGGGTATTGACAACAGAGTGCGAAGGCGATTCAAGGGACAGTATTTGATGCCCAATGTTGGTTATGGTAGTGACAAAAGAACCAGACACATGTTGCCTTCTAAATTCCGTAAAGTTCTTGTACACAATGTCAGAGTAAGTACAACTTAACTTTGAACCTATATTGTATGGATTCTAATGAAATATCCACATTCTAGGAATTGGAAATGTTGATGATGCAGAACAGGAAATACTGTGCAGAAATTGCTCATGGAGTTTCATCCAAAAACCGTAAAACCATTGTTTCTAGAGCCCAAGAGTTATCTATCAGGTTAACCAATGGAAATGCACGTATTCGTACACAAGAGGGTTAAGTTTTGTAATCATTATTTAATAAAATAAAAAGTTCTTAAAATCCATTTTTTTTTTTTCATTTTAATATAATATACTATCATATATTATTCAACTCCTGGTTAAATTAACAAAAGAATATTTATTTAAAAATATACATTTTTAAAGGTAACAAAGTTTTAAAATAAATGCCACATAGTATTTGAAAATATACATTTTTCGTTTTTTTTTAAATTAAAAACTATTTTGGTTACAAAATATTATTGATTCTGAAGACAATCCTGGCACATTTTTGATGTCATTTCCATTAATGGCTCCAATTCTTTATTTATGACTAGATCAAACTCGGTTATGAAATAATAGAAATGCTTATAACATGTATTCACGTGTGGTTCCTGCAAAATAAATTAAAGCACATAGTGTTAATATCTAAGGTTAAACATTGTATAAATATACTCAATTTTGAATTCACCTCAAATAATCAAAAGTTAATATTAATAATTAATTCAATATTTTTGACTGATAGTAATAGTTATGAAATATAGTTCAGTAAATATTTGTAAGAACGTTCAACCGTTTAAATATTTGATTTTTATTCAAACATATTATTTTTTTAATTATAACCACTAATTTTAATTAGTTAAATAATAAATTAATTAATAAAAGATGAGTTGAATATTTTATTTCCTTATTGTTTTAATACATAATAATACTTACTGCGCCTATAGATATAATTCGATCAAAATGGTGTATATAAACATGTACAAATACTCTAAATAATCGAGTAAGTATTTTTTTGCAAAGTGGCATAAAAGTCTTTGGAAATGGTACATCTAATAACAAATATTAAAAAGAGCAACAAATTTTATAATGTTAAGTGTTTTCTCATTATAAGGCTTCATTAAAATTACCTGTTGATACTGGGAATAAGTTCTCATTATTAATTTGTGTTTCAATCCAATCCATGAGCAGCGAAACATACTGAGGTGCTGGTAACGGTGTTGGTTTTTTGTACCTTTCTTTATCAGCCCACAAATATTCAAACTTAGGGCCACCACTCATGGTCGGACAAGATGTATCTGTACAGTAGTCACAGACTGTGCCATAAATCAAATTTATTCGATTAAAAAAATCGACCACTGAAAATAAGAAATAAGTTATGTACTAGTGTTCTGTATTGTATATAGAGACAATATTTAAACAAAACCATTTAGATTGCAATATTAATGGAAAAGTTAGTTTATGAATGGACCTATAATTATAATTTGTTAAAACAAAGTCATTTAAATGCTTCAGATTTATTTATTTTATTCAGATCCTAACCTTACTGTACTAGAAAATTATTAAACATACTTTTGCCGCTTATTTCTTAGTTCTTAATCAACAAGTTATTAGAAAATATAATTCACCAATTTTTATACTAGGTATGTAACTTAGTAGGCCAACTAGTTACACATTAGCTATATTTATGATTTTATTCTATGGCTCTCAAGTAATATTATGAGTCACAGAAAACCATAGAATTAAAAAATAAATAAATACAATTTGAAACAAGACAAAAAACATTTTTAAATAATGTAATGATTGTGAGTAATTCATTATATATTTAAAATAAATATTCTTTCATACTCTTTTTTTTTTTTTTTTTTAAATATTGTTTAGAAAATATGCCCCTATATATTAATCTGAGAATAAAGAATAATACAGAATTCATGTCTGAATAAAATATTAAATTTTAAAAATTTTATAGGTAAAATAATAAGTTGAGTTAAATATAATTTAAGATAAATTTAAATTTAATCGAATTTATTGTAAATTTTAGTAATTTAGTTATTATTTAAATATTAGTAGTGGCACAGAATAAAATTTGTTATGGGTAGTTCAAATATTTTAATCAACCAATCATTCCTTCTAATTTACAACCTTTTTGAACATTATTTTATTTTATTTTAGCATAGTTATTAATAAATATAAATAGTTTAATGACATTCTTGTGTATAAAATAAATATTGTAAAAAAAATTAGCAGTATGCAGTACTTTATAATTTTACCCACCCAATATTTATAGCAGTCCAATTAAACTATCCAAAGTGCGTATTTGACGCCACTGAATAAAAAATATTGTCAGCATAAATAATAATTTACGTGAAATAAGATATCAACTTTTTTCAAGCAACATTGCAAATTGCATATAAGTGATATAGTACTGTAAATATCAAATTATATTCAATTTTATACATCTAAATTATATTTATTAGAAATATGATTTTTAAATAATTTATTTAAAAACCAACAAATCCTTGTCGTGCATGGCATATTATTTATAGTCATGCATGGATGTAGCTATATTTTATAGATTATGACTTAAACTTACTGCTAAGATATGATGTATTTTCAATAGTAAATACAAGCATAGAATTTAATAATAATACCGTGAACAGCAATCCAATCGTATAAGTCTTCGCCCGGTGGCAGTTGAACTGCGTTCCTCAAATTTATGCCGGAGTTTAACGAAGCTTGTGCATGTTTATACAATGAATAACGAAGAGTGCCCGGTGAAAACTTTTTTTTCGGTCTAAATGTCTGGAAATATATTTTAATGGATAATTTTACAATGCATACAATACAACAATAGTATATTTGTAATATAGTGCAATATTTTGTCACTTACTTTTCCTTTTTGAAAAAAATCAATAAAACCACTAAAAGACATGCTGAATTTATTTAATACTCCGTAAATGAATACTGTTCCGAAAAATTAATACTAAAATTAAATTATAATTAGTAGTAATATATACTAAGTTACTTAAATTTAAGATACTTAAGTGGTTTTTACTTTTTAGCTTTTATTATCTTCCCATTTTAATACAATGATTACAATGATATACAAAAACAGTGTATTGGGATAACATTATCAATACTAATTTTTTTGAAATGCGATAATAACAGTATCATGACCAGTTGCAGCTTATCGTGAATCCGTGGATCGTAATTTCAAATTTGTAATCAAAAATCCAAATATTGAAACAGAAGTTAAAATTTTGAAATTATATTAAATTGTAATGAATCATTAATTATCGAGTTCATTTAATTTTTGTTGCATGTGTTCAATGTTTCAGTACTATGAAGAAATATGTAAACTATTATAATGGAAATATCAAATTTTAGAAAAATAAATAAAGATCGTTTATCTGCATTTTTGGAACATTTGGAAAATAAAAAAGTTTCTGATGATTCTGGCGAGATATTTGAAAAGTGTTTAGTAAGTCCTTATTCATATACATTTTAATAATTATTTAGGAGTATTAAATTAAATTAATATTGATACACTTTAAAATATCAAACCTATGGTTTATGATTACACTTTTTTTTTTTGATTTTAGATGATTTTGAAAACATTATTATACACTTCATCAAACTTTATACCTAAAAATACACTCGGCACACAGTTTAACATTCAAAGTTTTCTGTATGCGATTAATTTTGATGTAATAGAACCTGATCATATGATCAAATTAAAATCAATACTTGATCAAGTGGCAGACTTTGATATCTATGCTAGATACATAGAATCTATCTTAAATAAAAACAACAAGTCATTGAATTCAGTTTTAATGGCTGTTTGGACTCAATTGGGATCAAATGTATTGAAATTGCCTATAATTGTTCAAGAAAAAATCATTAAGGTAAATCCTTTAATTTTTGAAAAAACAATATTGTCTGCAATATCGCTGTGGGAAATAAACGATTTAATTGATGTATGCTCAAAATCACCATTGGTATTCCAATCATGCTCAAGTATTTTTAATGAATTGCTCATCAAGTTAAACTTTAGCAATACATTTATGGAGTTTTTGAACTACTTTGTGAATGGTGTCAGTTCACGGTGCATAAACAACGATATTGATATTGTTAATATTTATCCTAGCAAATGTAGAAGTATATTAATCTTAAGAGACATTAAGAACAAAAATTCAACTTTAGTAACAGAACATGATTTAAATGATGAAGTAAAAAAATTAGCTTTAGCTTACCCTAAAGAATCTATTTGTTTGTTAAGTCATTTTCCAGATTTATTCATGTCATACTGAAGTATCTTACCATTTTCTGTTATAGGCTGTGAAAATTTTTTCATTTATCCAAATTAAATTGCCTGTTAAAAACTGAGCTTAATAATTTTTACTTTTTAGTACCTATACAATATACCTTTTTATGTATTGTCATACTAAAAACATGTTATATGTTTATGTACATTTTTTAATGTTAATTTGTATAATAATTTTTATAATGTATTTACACTTTTATTAAATTTTTATTATGATTTGTATTAATATTTGAATAATATTTACCATAAAAAAATTAAAAACTTGGTTAAACAATAAATTAATTTTCATTTTTAAGTTTAACTAGCTGGCAAGGCGATACACAAAAGCACATTGTAATCGTTCACCGAAATGCGTTTGATGTGGTGAGTTTTGCCTTTCAGATAGTTTGTCAAAAATCAATACATTTACCTTTCTTTGTAAATGTTCCATACCCGACCAACTATAGAGGTTGTCCATTTTACAACCTATATTAATCGACTTGACAGTCTAAAAAAAAAAAATTACCTAGCTAAACATAATTTCAAACTCCCTATAGGTATAGTAATAATAATGTAATGATAACAGTACATCAAATTATAAATTTCCAACTATTTGTTTCATCTAAATGTTATCGAATAATGAAAAAATAATGGCAAAAACTACTCGAACAGTCGAACGTTTATAGTGAAATCAACACAGACAAAAACTATCAGCCATCGTTTTTTCTTGACAAACTCGTCTAGGACAAAAATCCTACTCACTATTCCTAATCATCCACCTTGACGTCTCATGCTGGCTCCACATTCGGCACATTCTCACGGAAGCGGCGACACGAACACGAGGAACGAAGTTTGGTTCACTCGTTTCGTCTCATTCACGAGTAAAAATATACATAATAGTTATGTGTTATATGTATTTAGCCATTATCTCATCACTCTTCACCTCGTATGCGCTTCACTCGAGTCGGTGTTTTGGTCGTGACTCGTGAGACCAAAGGACAGTAACACTCCTATGAATCTCGCCTAATTCCCGACGATGCGACATACAAGAGTGTTCAACTATATAATAACTACATAGCATTAAACACAATTACACAACTGGTCAGTGGTCTCGTGATCTACTTGGTTAAATATCCAAAAATAAACAAAACTAGTATAGTATCGGAGTTTGGAGTAATAATCAATGGACGCCAACTCTGACATGCGACCACGCCCAATTTACTATTATTCCAATAACAGTAATAATAATAATAATAATAAAAAAACCAGTTAATTGAATTATAAACATACAAAAGTTCCACTTTAGTTTAATTTATTTATCAATATAATATATATTTTTTTCGAATAATCTAAATTGAAATTTAACGTGTAGCAAATAAATGAAAACATTTTAAGATTGCATTTTTCTGCTATAGTGACTGCTACATAAATAGATGATGGGAATATTTTTTTAATACTGACATCTATAATTGGTGGTTAATGATTAATATATAAATAATAATCACAATTACTTAAGCTATTATTTTATTGTTTAGTGAAATATTTAGATTTTCAAAACAACTTCAGCATTTTACTTTATGTTCTAGAGCTGAGCTCGGCAACCTTTTTGGTGTTAAGGACCAACACATTTTCTCGGGCCATACCTACATCTTTTATTTACATTTTACAGTTTGAATTTTAAATTTTAAATAAAGTTTAATTTAATTTATTTAAGTTTTATCACTGTTTGGTACCTTTATTAATTTAACGTGGTATATATAAACAAAGTTAGGTTATCAACTAACATAATGTGATATTCCAAATTTTTATATCAATTATAAATTATAATCGTGGGCCACATAAAATCGCTACACGGGTCGCAGGTTGCTGATCCCTGTTTTAGAGTAGATAATAATTATAAACTCCACACAAAAACAAAAAATAAATGTTTATTAATTTAAGACACAATCATCTTAGTTTATATTATATTGTCAAATTAACGTCAAATTTGCTAGTCTAAGCTTAATATTTATTATACGTAATATGCTATTAAAGAATAAAGATTTTGATATCTATGTCAATAGATTTAGCGAACAAATATTGTGTAATAGGTATACACTAATGAGCTAAAAATAAACAAAAATCTAGTAAGTATTTCTGTATTATTAAAAATTAAAATTGGTTTAGAAATGATGTAGCTGTTTCCAATTATTTTTAGTTTAAAAAACCTTAATTTTGAGGCTTCTTTTTTTTATTTTACATAGGTATACAATATACCTATTTACTTAATTGTGTTTGTAACTTTACAATTTGGTTAAGTCGAGAGACTTGGTTTAACCTACTACAAGTCTATGCAAATATTTTACAAAATTTAAATTGAAACATTTCAAGTTCGTCGAGTCGTCGAGATTAATTTCGCAAGATTAGGTAGTCTATTCTGCCAAAATTATGCGTATCTACAAACATTGACAAAAAGGTTTGTAAATGCCAATAATTTTAATTCTTATGAATAATTTTGCAAATTGGTTTTGTGGATAAAAGAGTAATAACGATAGACTTTAAGGAGTTTTTAAATGTACTTATAAACCTTAACACATCGTTTAGTACAATTTTTGACATTCTATAGAATATGCGATATAATATGTAGATTACGTTAAGACATCTGTAATATTTATCTGCAACTCTCGTGTTAGTGAAATTATTGATAAAATCGATGGAGATTCTGAGTTAATAGTTGAAATATAAACGGCTATACTCTTAAGTGCAGAAAAGTGCATATTATGTTATTACCTACATTTTATATACATACATATTTAAATATATTCAAGATATTTAGATTATTTTAAGTTAATTATACACAACGAACTATTTCACACCGTTCTATAGTAATAACTAATAATCGATATATTGACTCTAAGACCAGAGGTTAATATGATATGAGTATGTATAAGGTATATCTACTAATACATTATAATAATTAAATGAGAATAGTTTAATTAGGTATAAACACGAACATGTGCGATGGTATCCATAATCTTCTTGAATAATAATGATATACAAATTATAATAATATAGTAAACGAAAAGTTTTTGGCAAAATTAAATTCAACATAACTTATTACTAATTTACCTAACAAATGTAATTAGTATATATATAGTTATATAAAATAAATTAATTATCATGTTATATTTTTTTATTATATTAACTTGTTTATGACCTATGTCCTATAATAAAAATTTTAAATAAGTATACAATTTTAAATTAAATATATTGTTGTAAGAGGTAGTGGGGTTTGTCATGTTTTAAATAAACTCTATTAGGATTTAAAATATGCTTGCCATGCCACTACTTAGTAATATTTAGTAATATTAAGTATTGACTGATAAATAGTTTTGTTCAGAATAGTTTTTTTTATATCAAATTAGTTCACCATATACTAATTATTGTATACCATGCCGATAATATACATTTATACCTATATAGCAAAGTAAAAAATTAGATGAGTTAGTGAATCATCTACCTAGGTACTCATTTTTCACACCATATAACAATAACTACCTAATACTTTAATTCGATTATGCATGACGCTTGTGGTGTGAAAAGGGTATTAATTACCTATTAATAATTTATTTATAATTTGTAATTCTTATTGACACTAAGAAGTAAATTATAGGTCTCTAACTTCAACTAAATTATAATCTTAACAAATAATCATTTGCACGCAAAACAATTTTGTTTTTGAATGTGACTAATTCATTATTCTATATTTATATAGGTTAATTGCTCACTAATCAAATAATTATTTCTTCATATTTTATGTACGAGTATAATAATTGACAATATTGTATCTATAGTTTATATACGTTTAGCAGAATGATCGTAATCGTTTTATATATAAGTAGGTGCTGTATTTCTATATTGAATAACGATAAATTTTTTGGAATAATTTGATTGATTGTCAATTCAATTTATGAGTTACGATTTGCGTATACTTTTAAATTTCTAAGTTTAATGCAAGTTTGTGGTTTAAAAAGTTTCATATAGTTAATATTTATACCGTATAACACTCTGTACTTTGTGTTTACATGTTATAAATTATCAAATTATAATTAGTTTTAAGTTATATATTTACCAACTATATTATTTGTATAACAGCTAGGTTTTGGTAAGATCAACTCTCATAATATAGGTGCCCCGTCATGGTTCACGGGATAATATTTTTGATAGACAAGCATACAATGCAGATAAATGTCAACCCACTTTATTTATTTACAATAAGATTTTGCCTATAGTGTAAGTAATGCAAGCTTCATTGAGCATTTATCTGGTGACTGGTTTAAACAATATAGTCAATAGATAGGTAATAGCTATAATATGTTGTACACAGTACACTTGAACGTATTTTACAAGAACATACTGTGTGAGTAAAATATAAAAAAAAATGAACAATAATTCGATAAGGACGTGTTTATGTTTACTTAAAGGAACGTGACCTCAAACCAGTTTGACCTGCGAGTATTTTACTATTTAATACTGATATAGTGATATTGCAGTTCGTGCGATAGACTGTATACGTATATACGTATACAAATATTTCAAATAAACCAACCAATCAGTTTTAATTTAATTTTTGGCGTACGTAGTTCATCGCACTTCTATATATAGTTAGTTCTAATGTTAACATATTTTGTTATTAATAAAATTAAATATTAGAATCCCGTTAAAAATATTTATTTTTTGTACAAAAATAATAAGTTGATAAACCATCAATTGTTGCATTATGGATTTTGAAAAATTAATACTCGGAATTGACATAGGAACAAGTTCAGTCAAAATTTCACTTTTAGATAGCTGCACTTCAAAATCTGTTTATGCAAAATCGGTTCCAACTAAAGCAAAAATGAATCCTAGTCATCAAAAAGGTGATGAGCAAGATGTTGTCAAAATTTTGCAAGCAATGCAAGAATGCTTAAAGTCACCAGGAAAAATTATGGAAAAGGTAAATATTTAAATCGAAAATTAAACTATATACCTAAATGTACAACAATACTATGTAAATTATAAAGATATATCTGTATAGTATTTATTGATAATCGTATACATTACATATAGAAGGAAATTATTCTAATAGGTAATATTGTTTTTATAGATAATATTTTAGAATTTATTCAAAAATATTTCATAGTTATAAACTACAGGGCTCGAATTCTATAGCTTTGGCTTATCACTATATAATACAGATAGTATGATGTATATGAGTAACAAAGTAAATTATATGCATTTATTAAAAAAATATAAATATTTAATTATATATTTAATATTTTAAGCAATTTAGATATTTAATGTTTTTTCTCAGTTGTATTATTATTTTAGTTTATTAAAAATAGATTTATTTATTTATTATTATTTTTTAATTATTGTTTTGTAAAGGAAATTAGATTGAAAGAGAAGGAAAGTAAATGAACCTTGTAAATTTTTAAGCTTTAACTATAAAAATAATTTTTACATTTTTTTGATTTAATGAAATTTGATCTTCAAATGCTTATAAAAAAAATCATGTCTGTGTTTGTGTATAATAAAACTTTTTAAATTGTTAAAATCATTACTTGGTAGAATTTTGTATGAAATTTTCATGGTTTTTGATTAAACTTAAACATATTTATCAACAGTTTATTTCCACTTAATCAGTGGAATGTTATACATTTCAATGATTAATACTTTTTGAATAGAAAAAAAAAACTGAATCTGTTTAATAATATATTGTTATTTTACGCGTAAATATTCAATTTCGTCAACATGTAAACCCTATAGACGGTCACATAAATTATTTGTTGATTAGGTAAGATCAATGTTTTTTGATAAATATTTAAGAAAAACTATATACAGCCTATATTGTAGTTATTTTTAATATCTTATAGTTTGAGTCCTGTTAATAATTATTTTGTATTCAAATAAAATTTAGCTATAGTCATCATTAATTGTTTAATATAAATTTTAATTTAAATAATAGATTAATAATAATTTATCTTTTTAGATTCTAATATTAATATAGATAGCAAAAAAATAAAATAATTTCTTATTTATATTTTGTAATTTTTTACAATTTGCAATTAGTATGAGGTACTTAGTAGGTAGATACTTAGTTGTCCTGACAATCTTTTTTCAGAACGTTATTTGTCCGTATTTTCAAATCTATCCCTTATTAATCCCGTTTTTTACCTTACTGTTATAATTTATTAATTTAGACAAAGTTTGTTAGGTACTTAATCTAGGTACTAAAATAAAGTCCAACACACCGAGTTATAAATTATAATCGGTAACTCGTCGTTATAATTTGGGCCTACAGTTAGGAGTATACAATTGGTTGTATGGTAAATTAAATTAAATATTCAAATAATTTAATATCCTCTGTGACTAATCTGTCATCAAATAAAAAATATATTAAAATAAGTTAAGTACCCTATTCGTATTAACATTTCAAAACTAGCAAATATTTTAAAAACAATTTTGGAGAAAAAATCCAAATTACCTTTACGTGTTTAAAATAATTATAAATTATGAAAAATTAATAACATGACGTTCAAAAATATTATCACGTTATTCTTTTTTCGTCGTTTTTCTTAAAAATTAGTGATCACTTTATTTACGATGTAAATAAATAGTTGCCCTATAGTTTTTATGATTCTCGGTAGTTTGTAATATATAAATTTCGTTTTAACATTCGTCTGTTTTTTTATCGTTCTATTATTATTATTATTATTATTATTGTGTCATATACCTACCTGCTTATACCAACGTAGGTACCTACATCAAATATGTAACATGTAATTAATCGTAATGCATGTATTATTATATTACCAATGCAACGCACGGTCCTAATGACATATTGTCGATGATCAAGACGCTTAAATGCAAAAGTTTAATGTGTGGCAGACATCTGTATGTCAAATTTGCGTTGAATATCTTTAGAGAAACCAACTCTGAAAATGTAATAAAGATAAAGTTTTACTATAATTATTCAAAAGGAAATCTGTTGGTGATGAAATGGTACTATTAATAGATGAACTGTTGGCATTCAGTTGGATATAAAAATGAAAAAAAAAAGAGATTTCTCACGTCAGTTTCGTAATTTTTAGTTCCGTAACACCCGGAACACTGACTCAAAGGAATATCCATAATTATTGACGTGCTACAGATGACTATCTTGTTTGCCCACCCCACCCATAAATTTATTTTATAAAGCCTTAAGAACTCATACAATACACGCTGAAGTTGTTTGCATGCATCAACTGTCTAAGGATCCCATATAACTGAACCATATTTAATAATTCGTGTAACTCTAACAGGTGCACAATATAAGGAATTCAGTGGGATAGTTGAAATTCACCAGATATTCTTATAATGAAATCCAACACTTTCAAAACTTTGCAGGTAACCTTATCACTGTGGACAATAGAATAGATGGAGAAACTAAAAGTAAAATCTTTATCAGAAATTTCAGTAATTACAGCAGGAACGGGTTAGAGCCATTCAAAGTGTAGGAAAAGTAGTAGGGAAGTAATTTCTGTTAAATATCATTGAATTTATTATTATTAATATTCATTGTAAGACCGAATGATTTAGTCCAGGTAGAGAAACTATTAAGATCATTTTGAAATTTAAAACAAACACGGGCAAAATTGAATCTTCAAGAATATTTTTATATAGTCTGCAAAATTAACTACAAAGCAACTGATTTTACCTAAGACGAACATATTATATCGTTTACAAATAAAATTGATAAATTAATAATGTTGTTAAATTAATCTAAATTATTAGAATGTTAATACTACCATAGCTCCCATATTTTAAAAATGCATTAACATAAACCTATTATTCTTAGTACACAATTTAAAATAACTCAAGAACTATACCTAGTCTATAAGTTCAAATTTTGATTTGGATACATCGTAATTAAAAAATTAGGATAATCTTTATTTCATTTAATACTTTTTAAATAGCACTGAAAATCTCAAGAATTTAAAATTATGGTTTTAAAAATAAAGAACAACTTAAGTATTATTGAAGAAAAAAAAGGAATGAGTATGCTCGGTGAATCATTCTATATCTCTTAAAATCCCAGAAAATATAAATTATTCAATATAAAAAAATACTTAGGTCCCTATTAAGTTAAATATTTTAATTTAAACTAAGTACTCTTTATTTGTTGTAATGTAAGTACACATATACATAGTTATGGTTACAATTTATGTGAATAGTTTTAATCCAAAAGGTAAAAAAATCACTTGAGTATTTTTAATTTGAATAATCATTTAGATAAAATATTGACCTGTAACTGATCCTGATAAGGTAAAAGCGATTGGTATTTGTGGTCAAATGCATGGAATAGTTTTCTGGAATGAAAATTTTGTACAAACATTTTGGGAGAATGATTTTAAGAACGATACAGAGAAATTGGTATCTAGTTTATATACATGGCAAGATGCACGTACAGATATAACATTTTTGTCTAAGCTGCCAAAACCTCATTCTCATCTAAATACATATTCAGGTTATGGCTGTAATACTATTTTTTGGTTAAAAGAAAATCAGTAAGTTTAATAGGCGTAACTAAAGATTGAATATTTATAAATAAAATACAAATGTTTTAATACATATATTTTAGACCAGAAATATTGAATAATTTTAAGCATTGTGGCACAATTCAAGATTTAGTAGTATCAATACTTTGTAATCAAGGAAAGCCAATCATGTCTACTCACAATGCAGCAAGTTGGGGATATTTTGATGTAATTGACTGTTCCTGGAATACAGATATACTAATTGAAGCAAATTTTCCAGTTCACCTATTACCATCAGTTGTACAGCCTGGAATAAATGTAGGGACATTATATGAAACAATTTATCAAATACCAAAAGGCATAGTAGTTGGTAAATAATTAATGTTTAAAAATTATAATACATGTATTTAACTAAATTGTCATTAAGGTGTTGCTCTTGGTGATTTACAATGTTCAGTAATAGCCACATTAACAACAATGACAGATGCTATTATTAACATTTCAACTTCTGCTCAAGTTGCATTTATAACCAAAACAATTGAGACACAATATGGTAATATTAAAAATTATTAGTATTTTGAATAATTCATATAGTGGTTTGTTGTATTATTTTATATTGTAAGACTAGATGGTATTGAATATTTTCCATATTTTGATAACCATTTCTTGGCAGTAGCAGCTTCTTTGAATGGTGGAAATGTCATAGACTTTTTTGTTAGATCTGTGCTTAGCTGGATATCTGCTCTTGGATTGACTATAACTGAAGGTAATTTAAAATATTTATTTACCAATATTCAATAACATTTAATTTAATTTAAGGCTCAAAACTAAATTTTGAAAATCAATTTATTATTAGCTTGTAACCATATAAAATCTCAGCTTTATATTTTATTTAAACACTATAATCAAAACTGGTTTATACTGAGGATTTTTTTTTAAATTCCTTTTAAGCTTCTAACAGTAATATATTTGTTTGATAATATACTTTTAAATCTTGCTTATTAGTACACATATATAATATTATTTATTTTCTAAATATTAGAATATTTTATTTACACATACATAACTATGTTATATGTATCAATTTTATTTCAGATGAACTATGGAATAGATTATTACATTTATCAACCGAAGAACATTTGACAACTCTTATAGTAAACCCTTTAATTTTTAGTGAAAGACATGATCCAACAACGTTTGGTTCATTAATAAATATAACAAATAATAACTTTACATTACCAGAAATATTTTCAGGTTTTTGTAAAGGAATGGTTAATAATTTACTCAAGTAAGTATAATATATTATTTTAAAACAATGTAAAATACAATATTTTATAATATAAAATCATAAAAATTTAATTGATTTGATTTTAGAATGATGCCAAGAGAAATATTATTGAAAGCTGGAATTCAAAGAATTATAGGATCAGGATCAGTCATAACTAGAAATCATATAATAAAAAAAGAAATAGAACATTGTTTTAATCTCCCACTAAGTGTAAAAATGCCAGAAGATTCTGCTTTTGGTGTTGCTTTAGCATTATTGAAGAATAATCCTTATTTATTTAATTAATAAAAAATAATTAATTTATTTTATTATTAAAAGTGTTCATTAAATTATATATAATATTATATATAAATTACACAAGAACTGAAAAAAAATGTTTGGTAAATTTATAGATACAAAACATGAAATTATCAATTCAAAAATGTATTTAACACTACAATATTGCAATCATAATAACTACTGTAATATTAATTTATCTATAAATAATAATAATAATAAAAAATAAAAATATTATTAACATTAAAAACTAAAATTATATTAAATACTTGAATTGTTGCATAAAAATAATTAAACGTCACAGTAAAAATTAAAGACTAACAAATTAAATACTTTTAATATTGTTAGTTTTATTTTTTTGGAATATTCATAGCTCAAATTCTGAAACATAAATAAACTTAATATTAACATAAAATGTATTAAAATTAAATATACAAGTTAATAAGAATAAATATATATAAAGCATATAAAATAAATATACTGTCAATGTCTATAATTTTAACATAGTATATTATACAAATTAGAGCCATAATGAAAAGAATTTGATTGATCAGTTGCAACATCAATATTGAAAGTTATTATGTATAGGCCTACACTTATATTCATCACTAAATTTAATTATTTTAAAGAAAAAATGAACTAAAGCATACAACTTGAAATGTAGGAACTACAAAGAATAACTTATACTATTTATGGAGTAAGTCTTAACAAATGAACAAAACAAATCTGGTTAGAAATTATGATAAAACTAATAATCTGAAGTTATAAAATTACAAAATATTACCAGTAAATAGTAATTTAGAATCAATAATAACAATATAAGCTTTTAATAATACATAAACATAACATAATATTACCTTAAGAACTGCTATTCAAATTCATTAATTGTTCTTGTAAAACAAATGACATTGTACATGGTGTCAAAACTCCTTTATTCAACATTTCTTCGCGAGTTTTGCCTTTAGTCTTAGGAGTTTTTAAAAAACTGCAATCTTTGTTTAAATTGTTGAAAATTCCATAAGCACCAGTCATTCTAGTATAATTTTTTTCCTTCACTGTTTCTACAGTGATATTTGACATCTGTGATTCATTACTGTCATTATTTCCATCTTGAACTTTTTTCAGCAATTTATCATAGTTTTCATTTACTTTATTTTCTATAATGCCAAAATGTTTTTCAATTTCTAGTTCGATTTCTTTGAACCGGGTCTTCATTAAATTACAACACTGTAATTTAGTTTGGCGAATATCATCAATTTCTTTTTTTTTCAGTTCCTCAATATCTTCAATTAATAATGACAGATTTGATGTTTGAGCTTGGCGATTATCATCAATTTCTTTGTTTTTTAATTTTTCAATTTCTTCAACTAATAAAGGCACATTTGATAATTGTGTCTTGCAAGTATCATCAATTTCTTCATTTTTCATTACTTCATCTAATATAGGTAGATTTGATGTTTGAGTTTGGCTAAAAGACTGACATATATCTGGCTTCAGAGCAATACTTACATCTATTAAACTTGGAGTTGTGAGTTTATTGAAATTATTTTCATGGACAGGAGTCAAATTTACATCAGGTTCTGAGACATTAAATATGTCTGCATTTTTTTGGACAGATTCTAAGTGGCGGTTTAATAAATATTTAGAGGCAGATGATAATGCATTGTTAAACTGTACTTTTTCATACTTGGTACAAGGTGAGTCAATTAAAGTGTTAAAAAGTTCTTTTGATTGCAATACAGGTTCATAAGGCTTTTGGCGGGATTTTCCCATTGATGATTCAAGAAGTTTAATTCTACTAGGTGGAGATAATGGAATTTTATTATGGTTATTAAACATATCCATGTACGTAGATTTAGGTATGTCAAAAGTATTTTCTGCATAAAGTTTATCATGACTTTTGGATTTTGATGAAGAAAATTGAAAATTGTTAATCTAAAAATAAATAGAAGTACATTTATTATTGTTGCTTTTATATTATAAATATTTATAAATACCTCATGTAATGGCTTCAATGTACGTTTCATAACAAATGTATCATCATCAAATAAAGCTTTTTTTGGTCCTACTGATACTTTTTCTTCTAAAAAATACAAATAGACATAAAGTATTTAATTTTCCATATACCTAAACTATGTGGTGATATAATTAATTAACCTGTAAAATTAACAACAAATATAATTATATTAAATAAATAAATTTTTTTTTAAATAATAGAATGGTACCCATATTTTGTTTTATTAAATTCATTACATTTTAAATCTTAAATTATTAATTATCTTTAACAGTACCTATCATTAAAATATAAATAATCCAGAAAACAACGTAGATATTAATAAACAAGAAAACAATATCAGACACCTTTGATCATATAAATTAAGTATTATGCATTTATGTCATTATAGTTAGGGTGAAGATATCAGCATAGTAATTATTAAAATGAACGCTATTTATATCATATTATAAAAAATCAAAAAAGTTAAACTAGGGAAATTCTTTAATAATAAAAATTTACTTCATTTAAATTTATTTATTAATATTGCACAGAGATAGGTTATATATTTGTTATAACATTACGGTAAAAAAATATATATATATTTGTTAGTATTGAACCTAAACTACAGTTATTACATTATTTGAATATCTAGTTATATCATTTTATTTATGATGTGTTGTAAATGCTAACTAGATACTTTACTCTAACATAAAACAATATTAAAGATTAAACATATAGTTTTCAACAATAGATGCATAATATTATTATTAACCAGAGGGATTTTACTTGATACTAAAATAATAGCCCTTATTCATTATTTATATATTGCACTATGTATCGCATAATTATGAATACAGTACCAAATATTCAAAAAATAATTATAGTTTTACATTATTGTTGATTAACCCAATGCTCGTGGACTTTATCACAGTAATATTGTTGCAAGTAATAAGTTATCTACAGTTCTGAGACTCATACATGTATAGCATGTAGACTGTAGTTATTTCAATAAAGTAACGAATATATGTTTGTTATAAATTACCTATCATTATCATAAATATTTAAAGATAGTAATAAAAATGTTACATCATTTAAATAATTGTGACAAGCATGACACTTTTACAACGACCACAACTTTTGTAAGATTTTTATGAAACACAGGTGTTTAATTGTAACCAAAAATTACTTTTATATAACTTTATAATAATAGTTTTAATGTAATCACATAGCAAATAGTTAATTTAAGGAATAAAACAAATCTAACTCAAATAATATGATGTTTTAAGTTCATAAAAATATAAAAATGAATTATATAACATAGAACGAGTTGTAATATTATGTTTAAAATAGGAAGTAATAAATACAGAATTATACTTAACTACTTACCATTATTATATTCGGGAGTAAGTTTAACAAGATTTTGTACAACACTACGACGACCAACGCGCCTTTCTTTATTCATTTTAAATCTTCGAGGCTATTAATGTACACGCAAATTAAAAAACAAAAGGATTTAGAAAAATCCAACAAAATACAAGGTCGACTAGTACAAAAGAGAAAATTCAATATTTAATAACAATAATAAGAAGTAACAATATTCAAATTTTCAACGATACCGAAATTCGGCACTTGACAGTTAAAATGTTAGATTGAATAAATTGATAAAATTTTAAAAATTAAAAGCAAATTCCGTTAAAATACAACTAGCAACTACACCTTGAAGTACAATAAGTACATAGTCACAAGGATGATAATATTATTAATTATTATGTATTATATGGTTGATATTAAATTTGAAATTTGAATCGGAAATTCAGACATCGACGAAAAATAACCGATATTTTAAAATTTGATATCAATTATCAGCTTTTGGTAAAGATTCCTAGGAATTCCGTGGTGCATGGAACAAACGATGTATACTCAATATTATTCCCCGCCATTTTTTAATTTCTTAAACGTTTTACAAAATGATTATTCTAAAGCAAATTAAATTTTTGTTCAAATCGAAATATTATAAAATACTATAGTCTAAAGCACTATAACAGTCTATATTTATATTAATACATTTTATATTCATTTGAAGTAAAAAATTGCAAATTATTTTGTAGTTAAAATTTCATAAAAACTTTCCTTATTGTATTTAAGTTTTGAACATTTTAACAAGCTTCTTCATTGGTAGTTCATACTGAAATAATAAAATCTAAAAAATTGTATAATAACAATAATTTTTAATAGATATTTTAAGTTCCAATTTTTAATTTGAACAAAATAACTTATTTAAATGATAAATATAATGATATAAAAATTACCTTATCATGATTTAAAGACATTCGTGAGAATTTAAACTTTTATGTAATTTATGAAACAGTATAAGAACGTAATAGCATTCTTGGTTTATTTTAAAATGTTATCTTTTTATAAGTATTATGAATCTATTTTCACTGTTACAGTATTTAAAGAAACATATTAAATTTTGAGTTATGAAATAAATATGTATGTATTAACTATTATTATAAACACCAATAATATAATAAATGGCTCTAAAGGCTGATACAGTTTCCGTTTAGAATTATTTTTGTATAGGTAGGTACCTACAATGATTAAATTCAAATTCAACACACCTATAAGAATAATGATCCACTCAAACCTATTAATGTAGATATAGTAGAGTAGTACTTACTAACTTACCTACCTTTTTTGATTTACTTTGAAATACAATGATTTTTTTTTATATTTTTGCATCTTTCACCATTTTTCAGTTTTAAGATTTTGGTATAGATTCTAATAGTCAATTAAATATACTTAGTACTTTGATAATAATAACAAAAAAAAATCAAGAATCTTCAAAACAAGTAGGTCACATTTGTAATAAAAAACTTAACTTGAAATTTTCTATACACGTTAACATTTTCCTGATATATTGATTCTTTTAGTATTTATGACTTATACATGAACATTTAATATTTTTTTTGTATTTATCAATTAAAAATATAGTAAATATGAAATTGTGTTAATTTTTAAGGATTTTAAGTTAAAATATTGATAAAATCAAAATTTCTTTTATAAAATGTTAAATTTTTATAGACAAGAATTGTAAATTTAGTAGGTACATGGTTTCTTAAAAGTATTTCATACTGTGACAATATGAAATAATTTAGAAATAGTTTTTTATTTTTATAGAAATGTTAGTTCAAATTTAAACAAAAAAATAATGATTTTAGTTATATTTAATAAATGTATGTACTTAATTAAACTTTCAATTTGATATACTGTATTAGTAGAGTAGTTTACTTTACTCCTTTTACATATTATAAAATTGAAAATATTTCAAATTTGACCAATTATTTTTGTATCTGTTAAGTGTATTAATTTATACATGGAATGATGAAGGATTACTATTGATTTATAAATTTTCAATAAGATAATAAATATTTGTAGGTTTATTAAAAATGAAAAATAAATATTAAAATTATTACTTAAGCTAGTAACAATACAGACTTCTGATGAACTTCATTATGAATATCTTCTAGCGTTTGTAAAATGCTATTGATTCTTGTAAATAATATTTATTTGCAAATTATAGGCCTTGGTAAAATGTTGTAATTTAAGTTTAATTTGTCTAAATTCAGCATAAATCTTCTATAGAAAAATTACAGATAGACATCCATGTATTAAATTAATAAAAAATATTCACATTTATGTATTATCAAAGGATTGAGGTTAAAAACATTTAAATAATAAATAAATACATTGGATATTTATTTTGTGGTTAAATTTTCCAAAAACTCAAACATAATTTTACAGAATAAATTTAGTTTATAATAGCTTATATTAAAAAAAAATAATAATAAATAAACAATTACTCTGTAAATAAATATTAGGACAAAATTGATATTCAAGAAAAATTGTTATTTTTATGATAAAGGAAATATTGGTACAATGAAAAGTTCAAGTCCAAATATCTTTTCACATTACAATTACTTTATTTGCTCCAGACACAGATAATGGTGACTTGTTTTATACAAAATCATAATAATCTGGTAACAAATTTTGTACAAAACAAGCACAAACGGAAAAATAAATATTTATAAAGTAAAAAAAAAAATCTAAAACAATCAACAAGGAATATAATATATAATATAATGAAGGTACTATTGCAAGTGAGTTAAAATACAATTAATCTTCAAGTGGGAAAAGTAATTTTTAATTTGTTATCTAATAAATACTTTTAATTTACAAATATTTTAAATTATTTAACATAGTATAAATTTAAAATTTGCTAGATTTTTCCACGATTATGCAATATAATATGAAATGTTAACAAAATAATAACTAAAAAGAAATTATTAATTTGGGAAAATTTAGAATGGCAGTGTGTTTGCATCCTTTAACTCAAACATTCCCATAAATCTTTTCTAATTGACTGAAAAAAAAAATAGATAATCGCTTTGAGCATATCAATTTTTTTTTTATATGTGTAACGCGTGCCCAACATGATAAAGAACCAAACATAACAGAGAAAAATATATATAATTTTCAATTGTTCTACTTTCAAAATCACAGACCACTCAGGACAATGTCCTCTCTTCACTATCCACACCCAACAAACTTTAACAATTCATTAGAAATTTTTTTCCAAAATAAAATTTTAAGTACGTGAAAAAATCTTAATTAGTAACATTAAATTATAATTTTTTTTGATAGAATAAATATTTTAAATTTTAATAGACTAGAAAAAAGATCTGTAAATAAAATAGGTACACATTAAGCTGACATACATAAAATTGTTTTTTTTTTCTTTAAACCTAATAAAGACATAATATTTTTTTTGAATGTCTAACACAAAATAAAACATTTATATTATATACATATAATATTGGTTATATAACTGTATATATTTTAATTGTTTTAAACTTTTGAAATTTTCTCTTGTTATGGAAAATTTGTCTAATTTTTGTACTCTCGAGATACTAAAGAATTTTAAGCACTACATGAAAAGCCAAATTAAATAAAAAAATAAATTATTTACTGTTAACTCGAAAGTATTAATAATGAAATCATTGTTATTATGTCAAATAATAAATAATACATATAACTGAATAAATTTTGGAATGATTAATAAGCTAAAACAAAGATATTTAACAAAATAAATGTCAACTTTTTGGATAAAATTTAAACAACATTTTTCATAATAAAATATAAAACAAAAACATCAATCTGGTATAGTTACTAGAATTTAAATAAATTTTTAACAAATATTGCACTAATGGAGAAATGGAACACTTAAACAACAAGCTAGAAAAGACTTTAACATTGTACAATCAGTTGGTAAACTCGTGTGCAATTAGAACATAAATCAGATGCCTTAGCAAATTCACAATCTTATAGGATGAATTGTATATCATCCCCACCACCTTTTCATATTATACTATTCATTAGACCTGCTAAATTAATTTAAATTTCATTTGTTTGTATGAGTGTGTGTGAAAAAAAAATTAATCATATGTTTTTTTTTTTATATCTTCTTATACACGGAGGTTTATTGTGGACTGACACTTTCAGCTGGCACTGAAGTTGCTGTAGTACTTTTTTCGTTGCACTCAGCCATTTTTTCGCAATAATCCCTGAAATAATCGCGGAAGCGGGACCATGATTTTTCTGGCACAGTGATTGCTGTTCTAAAGTTTCCTTTAACCTAATATTTAAATTAAAATTAGTTTACAATTAAATTTTATCATATTAGATTGTTTAATGAAGAATAATTTAGACTTGCCGTAGTTGTTACCTCCGATATGCGCATATAAATGCCACGGTTATTTTGACCAACATCAAAATAAAAATTTTTGTTATCAACCCTCATGTGACGACCATCAGGCAAGTCACCTTTGAAACCACCATCATCAGTACCAAATTCATCTAGTAGATCTGTCAAATTATCACGGAACTCAATCATCCCTTGTGCTGGGATAGCAACTTGAGAACGTGGGCCACCACGAGTTATGGTTTGGGAGACCTATAAATGTAACATAATATATATTATGTACATTAGTAATATAGTAAATTTGTTTTTGTTTTAGAAAAACAAAAATATTCACTTACACGAAGAAATCTTCCACGTGCGTTTTCCTTTAGGTCTAAGTAATAACGACGGTTGTCCTTAATCATCATTTCAGACTTCAATTTTCCATCTTCAGGAACAGTATCTGAATTTGGCGGTCCTGTACAAATTTATTTATAATTAAAAGAAGTGGGACTTTTTTCATATTTTTTAACTTTATATGATCATTTTGTTGGAAAATTTTTGTGTTTGTATAATGTTTGAAAGAATTTTCTAAAATATTTTGGTATAATATTTTATGATGACCTTCATCCATCAATAATTTGAAGTCTTGTTATCAACATATGATTATTGTTATTTGTTTTTTTGGAAAAAATTAAGATTAGAAACTCAATAAAATCTTGACAAAATCAGTATGTATATTGTGATTATTATTTCAGATTATAATAATAATTATTAACTAACCTACATAATTCAGAGTAATTCAAAGCTACAAATACTTAGTTTTAAATTCATTTGCTGAAAAATGTTTGATGCATAATTTAGTTTAGAAAAAATATATTTTCTTTAAACATTTTTGATACTAAATAATTTATTTGTTAAAACTTATTTTTGAAATTTTTGTTTTCTAATATTTTACATTTTTTTTTTTTTAAATACAATTTTTTAATTGTATATGATCATTTTTGGTGCAAAATATCAAACAAAATAAATATTTATTTGAACAAAAACACGGTTTATATGAAAAAGTAACTAAAATGTTTTTCTTTATTCATAATTTTAACTAAAACTTTTATGATAATAGCATTGATCATAGAATAGTCTATTCTAGGTTTAAGATTTAGCGGCATATTTACGGTCAATTTTATACTGTTATAAGCTTAATTTATTTAATTATATTCATTATTTCACTAATTATTACTTTAAAGATCAGTAATATTTACCTAATTGTGAATAAAACTCGCTGAAAGTACCAAGATGATCTCTGAAATCAGCTGCGGTGGATAAAGCCAAAAAAATTTGACTTCTTCTGCCATCAGCTCCAATCTATAAAAATATTTAATAATATTTTAACAAACATACATTTTTTAAAATCCTAACACTGCTTAGTAACTTATGTTAACCACAATAATTTTCAATTTGAATGAAAAATTATATAATATATTTATACTTACTTCAGCGACTTTTATAAACTTTCCTCTTCTATTTTGTTTAACATCTAAGTAAAAACGTTTTGATTGTATTTGAAGCATTTTGGTAGCCAATTCTTGCTCATTACTTTGCTGTTGTTGACCTATATTATAAAAACAGAAGACGTGAATGAATGAATTTGTATTAAATTGGATGAATATATAAATAATTATTATCTAGGCATATACAAGTATAAACTAAAAAACAACTTCACAAAAAATATATTGTACCGAATATAATTTCCCTATCGATATCTGACATAATGAAGGGGTTATCGCGATTTTGCATTTTGTTTTAATATTAGCTTAAATTAAATGATTTGTAAATGTGCATAGTTTTTTGTTGACAGTAAAACGAAAACTGTAAACATTTAGGTGAGGTAATATTTCGCTAATAAAAGATTAACAGCAAAGCAACACGACTAAAGGGGTACACACTCGGTGACGGGAATAACAGTACAACATTACTAGTAGGGATTAGGTCAGGGCGTTCAATAAGTGGGTCACGTCAGCTGACTCGCCGCATAAAGGGCTGTAGATAGTACCATCATTACCATCACAAGAAATAATTTATTTTACGTATTCGTTTAGAGGGATTCTTTAAATTGCTTTTAATTAGGGTTGTTAACACATTAAAACAGCGCAAAATATTTAAAAACCAAATGATTTTATCAAAACGAGATTATTTGAAATTAATATTAAGTAATACAAAGTTATAAATTACACTAAACAGATAACGAAGTATCCGAGTATCACAAATTATTTTTATACTTGAGATACCACACACAGTTTAAAATTTTTTTATGAATTTATTGTAGACGCCATTAAAAATATTGCGTATATAATATCAACAACCAACATCATTAAATAAAATCTCATACATTAAACCATAAGTAAATATTTATTTCAAGATTAAATACACTAGTAAACATAATCATTTTTAATCAACAATTAAAAAAAAAATAGTATAGTTTCACCTATTACTTGTCAACAAATATAAAATACAAATTAAATAAAAAAATTTATAAATATTTTTTGTATATATGTACTTGTAGTTAATGGGGGAAAAAAAAAAAAAAAAAAAAAAGCGTAACAAATACGATAGGCATAAATACTTATTTTCCTGAATTTAACTTACATTTATTAAATGTGGTTGGTTATATCAAAAAATGAAACTAATTACAAAAAAAGAAAAAAATTGTGGGTAGTTAAAAATGTAATAATTAGGTATGTATTTTTATTTATTATTTAGTTTTCTATAAACAAAATTATTTAATGTAAAAAAATCATGGTTTTTTTTTTTGTTTTGTTTTATAAATTGCAAATTTATCACAAGATAAGACTTAAATTAGAAATTATATGATTAAAAGTCGAAATTGAATATTTTAATAGAATTAGCTATACAAAATATAAAAAAATACAGGTGCATATACTACATACACAGATGTATAATGTATATATATTATCTAGGTGTTATTATTTTAAGTATGACCAATAAATCAAAACTAAAAGATATCAATAATTTAGGAATTTTAAAATAATTTAGTCATTCAATTTTGCCAAATGACAAAACAAATAGCCATTATGATAAGACAAATGAGGATCGCAAGCGATCAAATAAAACAAAAAACAGATACTTCAAAGTTCAATTATAACAAAAACAATTAATAATTTTGTACTGATTTGTGATTGGCAGCTGCCAGACATCTGGTACATACTACCAATATAAATGTCTAATACATTTATGTGCAATTTTTTTCGACGAATTCTTTAATTAGTTAATTCGAAATGAAAGGTTGATAATCAGTAACTTCAGTATTCATTAATTTAATTTCAATGGCTATTAATTATATTGAAGTAATTAAGTGTAGAGTTATTAGTTTATTACATTGACATAATTATTGGTAAAACCCTGGGAAAACCACTTTCATTTTAAATAGTGATTGACATTTTGAAGAAAAACAGAATTGTATAACCAAAAATGTAATCGCAGTTTTCGAAATTAATAAAAATGAAAAACTATATTTAATAAAATGGGTCAAATAATAATAAATTATAAACGCATGTAGTCATCACTAAAATTATTACAGCGGTTTTGTTGTTGTATTTTGTGATCGTTATTTATAAAAGTCAAGTATAATTTTATTGTATATTTAATATTTATTACATACATATCTATGAATTTGATAAAAAGTTCATGTAAATTATAACAAAAAACAAGTACCAGTATATTTAAAAGAAAAATTAAACATATCCCTAGGATTAAATTCTATAATTTATTGTTATTTTAATAATAGATACAACAATTAAACAATACATTAAAAAAAAAAAATCATCCCTAATTGTTTGAATTTATTAATATATATTTAGATATACTTATCATGATTTACTATTATGATAGAAGAAACATGACATTTTATTATTTCGTCCTAAGACTTTTATATCCCGCGCATTATCAAAATGCGACTTTCCCTGTCAAATGATCACGTTACTACTATATTTTTTATATCACAATAACTAATTCTACACGTGTGCACCTATATGGATTGTTTTTTCTTTTTAATAATTATCATTAAAAAAGTGTCATTGTTTAAACATAGTTCTATGGTTATATTATTTTGTAATTGTCGAGCTATCAGCTATAATATTAATGGCTATTAAAAAATATGTATATATTATATTACACTAAAGTTATTAATATAATAGTTATTTTTTTTCGCTTTATTACGTTAACCAATTCATCTGAACTATTAATGATAACTTTACCACAACTGTTATAACTTTAAAAGTTAAAAGAAAAGTTTATAGCCAAAAAACTAATGAAATAATTTAAAAATTACGAATTTGAGATGTACCTATATATAAACTATATCATAATAATATATAGAATAGTTAGTATGAAACAGTAGTTTTCAATCCTTTATAAATTGTAACCTTTTTAAAACGTTAATAGCACATGATCACATTTTAAAATATAATGTATAATATATGTTAAAGTAATAAAATGTCTAAGTTGGATAATATATAATTCAAAATCATCTATCAAACAAGTATAAGTTTCTGACTACAATATAATTTTTAATATAATACAATATTTGCACGTCATTATATGAAAACATTAGGTTCGTTATTTTAGGAAAACTACAGCTATAAGATAACAACCATCATATTTTTAATATAAATTATATCATACTTAGTAAAATGTAGAATCTCTAATAAATCAGGTATATTATTAACAATTAATTGCATTAAATTATTTATTTTTCTCAAAAAAATTCAAGTTAAAACATATTTTGTTAACATAAATTCTTATTGTGCCTATAAAAACTGTGAATTGTATTTTTTTCTAATTAAAAAAAAAAAGTTATTTATTCGTATTATTAATTCTACTAAATTATATAACAGTATATATTTAACACCCTCTCAGCTCCCTATTTACAAAGACTGATCAGACTTGAACGACAACTTACATTAAATACTCGATTAAATATTAATAATAAAATTAACACGATTAGGTCGTTGACCAATGAACCATAAATAATTTAATTTAATAATTTAAATAATATATTCAGAGATAAATAATATACATATTTACTAATGTAATATGTCTAACTTACTAATATATCTAACTTATACATTTGATTATTAGTTACTACAAATTTATCGAATAATCAAAAAATATATTGACAAAATTACTTTAAGGTAGGAATTTCATAATAATTTTAAAAAAGCCAATAAATTACCAAAGAATGATTGCCAATATGATATTTTTCCACCATTCCAATTTGTATTATCTTCTGAAGTATGTCTAGCGCTAACGCCACTCGCCCCATTTGATGAAATATCCATTCATAAATTGCATACACTAGTCACTAGTTATATAAATCTCGACACCTACTTAGCTCGATAATTACATCAAAACATTAGACGTCAACTGAACACAGAACACAACTGGTGTCTGATTCCGTGTTATGTCCTTTCTCATACATAACCATGTGCTTGAAATAATTATAAATCTTTTGACTGGTGACGCGTCTCCTGTGGAAGACCGAATGACTCAGACGTCATCCCCACCCCCGCTTAAATACAAAACGACAAACGTGAATCGTGATTCACAAATTGCATAAACAAACGTATGGGGTTACCCTAATGTCTATACATTAATGTATTGAAACAGTGTCAGTTTAACAAAAATACAAAAACAATAAATTATGTAGTTAGTTAATTTAAAAAAAAAAAAAGAAAGATTGTTCAATTTAATGCTTGATAAAATTTTGTTTTATGAAAAGTATAATCATCGAGTAACAATATTCAGGAATCAAATAGATAAATGTTAAATAAAATAAATAGCTTAAAAATGAACGAAGAATGTACATTGTGTATTTCATATAACAGGTGTAGAATGATTATCTTTCCACCTTTTATTTTCCTTATAATACTAAATTCAATTAAAAAGTGAGTAATGTTTTACATACTAATGCATTGCTGAAATGATATTTTTTACTGATAGTACGAAAAATATTCGACAATGTAATGTAAAATGATTAAATGTTAGGTCGTCAGCTTATTAGAATTGAGCTGCTGAAGTTTAATTTAATTGGTTGAATGAAGCCAACTTATTAATTGACTTAATTCAGAATTTAACTTGATACAATGTATCTAGTTGTTATTTACTTTTATTGTGAATTATCAAAAGGAATACAAATTTAATTTTAAGTTGATTTTTAACATATTTATTATATTAGTATTATATATTTAAGAATACTTTTTTTTTAGTTCCTAAAAATATCTATACACTTTTTATTTTCTATAAAATTAACATATTTTTTCAATAATTTAAATGCTTAACATTCAATTATGATCTATAAAAATACAAATAAATTAATAATATTGTTTATACAATATAATAACCTTATAATTATTTTTATTTTCAATGAAAATTATTTCTTGAAGTTATAATCAAGTAATTTAAATACTATATTTAAGACAATATAGTTTAGAAGTTTTATTTAATATTTAACATTGGTGAGTTGCCAAATAAGCCTAAATGTGTTACAAAGTATATTAAATGATACAAAATATTCAAACATTTTTGATATAATTTATAAAAACTAGTAAGAAATTTCTAAAATTATTAAAAATAAGTTTCCTGTTATCGACAAATTTTATATTACCAATTAAAATTAAATATTACCCATTATTCTTATTTGTTTATTGTGTGTCACAGAGTATGAAATATTTTAATAGTGTTGCCATAACACAAAGGTTGAGAAACACTGCTATAGAATATACCTATTTATTTATTATTTTTAAATTCTCAATACCTGAAATGGTAATGCGGTACATTTTATAAATTACATATGAAATAATTCCAATACATTCTTTTTACTCAGGAAAATATTCCAACAAAATAATGGAATGTGTTACTTTTATTATGTTACAATCTCCTGTAAATTTAGATATATAAAAATAATATTAATTTAGGTTTTAGTTGTAATAATATTTCAAAGTTTACTTGAATGTTAAAAATGTATCAATAATAATAGCAAAAACTAATTGAGATATTAGATTATTTTACGTTCTTAAATACAATGACTAACCTATATATTATTAATATATTTAATTTATGATAATATTAGCATTAACTCATAATATTTTATAATATTTACAAAATTTCCTATGTAAGGAAAGGTATTTACATGAGAATATAATAAATAAATAATGATAATTACATACCATAATTTATTTACTTTTAGTTATTTGGCCGAGTCAATGTACTACTATTTGATAACTAAACTATGATATAAACAAATTAATTCTATTTAGGCATCTAATATGATTGCCATTAATTAAAGAAAAGAAGGTACATAAATATTAATGAAATTGAGAAACTATAACAACCTAAATTATTAGATAAATATTTAATTATATTGGGATATCTGCTAACCATATTTGAAGAACTATTAAATGTTGCCACTGCTTCAGTTGGCGATAAAATATATATATTTTTTTTTTGTACTTCATAATGAATTTATTTGAATATAAAATACTTTAGTCTAACAGATATTAAATGATAACTGGCTTTAGTTCACAACCCTTTCTCTAACCAACATACAGGGTCAGACTTAAGTATTTTATAGCAGCCCTCCTTTTTTTTGTGCTCTACTATAACTAATTTAAAAATGGAACTTTAATGTTTGTTTTCATAGTTCTTTTCAGGAAAGTTCAAGAAACCACTCGTATGCAATAGTTAAAACGTCACACTTAAATTTTGACACAGTAAAAATCAGCTACTACAGACTAATACCTAATTTGATACCACAGGTTGGTTTTACTCATATCTATTACAATTTAATAGATAACGTTGAAAAAAGGGATACCTAATAACCACAGGACATAAGATCTCTTGCATTTATTTTATTGACATTTATTAAATAAAATAAAATTTCCTTATCAATCAAAATGCAATGACTAATTACATTATCAAGAATTTTTCTAAAAAAAAGTACATTCCATAATTCAAATTCCTTTGATACGATCTTAACAAGATTTCTTGAAAGTAATTAAATACAATTGAAATATTTTGGATTTATTTGTGAACTATATAAATTATTGTAATGACATTTAATAAAATTATTTATTAAAACTTTAAACTTTGAGAAACATTTGTAGGAACAGAGTGAATTGACAGTAAAGCAAAGAAGACTGTTACTCAGAGAGCAAATTACTTAAAAATATCTAGATTCATAAGTAGGCGTATTTAAATTTACACTATATTACACCATACACAGGTAGATAGATTTGAAAAAACTATAATTTAATAATAAATTTCAGTACAAAAATTTGATATATCTAACTCTGCTCATTATATATAATTGAAAACAATTTTTTAGAACATAATGATAATATTAAAATAATTTTATGATAGTACCTAATTATAAATAATAATTAGATATCCATTAAACAATAGATAAATTATACCTCAAGTCTAGACAGTTAATACAACTAATAATATAGGTAATACACCTAAAATAAAACATTTGTCCAAAGCTTAACAAATGTTGAAGATGAGAATTTTAAAATCACGAATCGAACCAAATTTATAAATTAACATTAAATTATTAATATTTAAAAAAAATGTAATTACAGTAGAAAACTGTAATATAATAAAATGCCTTACATTAAAGAAAATCCAATCGTAAACTAATGCAGAACTTATGTTCATTAATTAAACAAAAGTTATATTATTCTTACCAGAATCTGAACCTGTAGCTCCATTTGAAGCTTGTCCTGAAAATTAAAATAAAAAAAAATACAAACATATTAGATGTTTACCGTGATAGTAAATTATTATTTGTACATCAATAGTTTTGTTAGCAGTGACGACAAGTGTAGTACGTTAGGTATACATTTGAGTATTTAAAAGTATAAAGTTAATCAAATTAATGGCCTGAAAAACTCTAGACAGAGATCGTGGCCAGCATAAAAATATGAGTATTAAAAATAAAATTTAAAATACGCCACTGCTTGTAAGAGGATAAGCGTAGTAGTGACCGTCTGATAACAGTCAAAAGCTGGGACAATCATTCGACACGATAAAAAAATATACCTCGTCTGCGACTCAGTCTCGCGTCTCCGGAGGACATGTTATTTGACTGACCGGCAATACCTACAAGACAAAGGGCGCGTTAGTGCGTTGCCTACTGGGAGGAGATGGGAATCGAACAAACCTAACTATCACCCAAGGGTAATTGGGGGGGGGTGGTTTATGGTCGGTTGTCTTGGCTGTTATTTCAACCTTGAGGCGATAAGAAAAAAAAGAACGAGTCAAATGCACGGACATATGTTAGGGGGGGTGACGAATGTGTGTGCATTCGCGAAACGCGGGAAAAGGGGGTAATCAGACAGACGGACTGTAGATGAGTGTGTTGCGAGCGATAATAGGGTTTCCGGCGATCGGTCCGGGAAAGAAAACAAAACCGGTGCAATGAGTATGCGGCGGGTATCACCGATCCGGCAGCTCAGGGTCAGCCATCTTGGATTCGCGGACCCGTTATCTCCCGGGAAACAGCGGCGGGTTGTGCGAACGTGACATCCCGGCGTTTACGCGATGCATTTAAAACAACAAACTCACTTTGACTTTGGGGCTGATCATCGCCGCTCTCTCGGTCCGACATCGTCCGACAACGCACAGTCACACTAACTGCCGCCCCGCTCTACCTGGCGCGCACACACACAGTTCACGCACTCGTCGCCCGTCTGAGCGATTCCTCTGGTCGCTCGCTCGTTCGCACGCTCAAGCACCACACCGCGGCGCACACACACACACACACGGACCCACGGTACACGTACACACACCCACACACCGATACACACACACGACGACGCCACCGACGCACAGCCGGTCGAACGATTTTTTGTCGTTTCCCCGCCACCCGCCGCCCAACCAATGACAG